CTTTATCTACTTATTTCCTTGTGCCAATACAGTAAAATTGTGTAACAACACTAACACTTTGTTATGAAGAGAGCTGGTAAGCCTTGGCTAAGCGGCGTTGCAAACGTTATTCTGTTTATTCGCCTCAGTGAGATAAAAATAAAAAGAGAACCGCTCGCTACAATATTGAATTCCCGTGGTTTGGCAAATTTTCTGGTTCGGCACCCGTCAGGTCCCAAGGGTGCCAGACTAGAGAGGTTCAACCTGTACTTGAAAATGATCTTTAAATGTGGTCAATTGCTTTGCATTTATTGAGACACTTTGAAAAGGAATATCATTGTGTATGCTCCAACTCTGACCTAGGTTAAGATTATTCTAAGATGGTGGAGAAAATCCTCTTCATTTTCCCTCTTAAATAAACAAACTAACTCCCACAAACTACTTCTTTGGGCCTGATACTTAGGGGAAACTCTTGACTGAACTGAATTAGATATTCACCTAAGTCAGAACTGCAGGACCATGAACCTTATCAGTAGGAAGTAGTATAAATAAATAACTAAATACACAGTAAAAATATGCAACATTTTAATTGGTCTTCCACAAAAACAGTTTCTCCTCTGGTGCTCCCTCTGCAGCAGCAGTTAATTGACAAACACCAAGTGCTTTGAAGATGTTGGTGGCGCACTAAAGAAGAAGTGAATTCAATAACCATGTTAAGTTTAAATTCTGTTACAAAGAATCAGGGGAGCATTGTGTGTCAGAAAGAGTACAAGAAAACCAATGTGGAAATAAATTTTAATGGTAAGTCATGATTCTAAGAAGAGTACAAAAATTAAGAAGAATTTTCTTTTAAACTAAAAATGCCTTGAATATACATTTAGTTTTAAATATACTTCTCCCTGCACCAAGTCTGAGTAATAAAGCAAACAATGGGTGTTGGGGAGGATGGCTACTCCTGTGACCCTTGTGGAAGGCTACCACGGGGCTTCTGGGGCATGCGGGGCCCTCCAAAGGTTGAATTTTGCCCCTATATATTTAGCTGATCAGATCTGTGCAAAAAAAAGATGGAATTGTGCATTTTATGTAAAAGCATGAAATTTGTCTTAGGGCATGACCTAATAAAGATTTTCAGATATGGAGACATCACCAGCTCATGCCATGTTGGCTGTGGCAGACATTTTAACATCATTGTCATTATTGGCAAATTACATTGTTTTACAGTTGGACACACAAGGGATGTATTCTTGGTTTTGCTTCAGCGTGATCTTAAAATTGCTGTAAGGAGACATTTTGTACTAATTTTGATTGCCAGTGTGTTCTTGGCAGAATTTAATCACATTTCTCTTTTTCTTTCAGATGCTACTTTGGTTGTGTGAAAGCTGCTTGGTGATTGAGTAATATTAGCTGTACACTGTAGTAAAAAATATTAGATTACCATTGGCTACTACTAGTGCTTCACCCATCTCAAAAAGACACAAACTTGTTTGAGAGCCAGGTCCATCAACACAGACATCCCATTCCTCTACTGGCTGAAGTGTGTCTTTGTCAGGAAGATACAGGTGCAGAGTTAGTTAATCCAGCAGAATTGAAAAGAGAACATGCTGGATCTGGCTATCAAACTCTAGCAGAAAATATAAGACATTTCCATAAAGTGAAAGCACTTCCTATATTCATAAACGTATGCATATTAGATGATGGTGATGGTATTGAAAAGAGTTTGAACAAGAACAATGGACAGCACAAATCTTGCTACATCAAGTTTAACAGGACCAAACTTAAAGGGACTGAGGAGAAAAAAAAAGAACTGAGTAAGCTGTGGATCACCTTGATGAACTGCAGAGGAAATACACACGTTTAAGTGATGAACACAAAGGGCCTCCAGAAAAAGAAGTCTGCTTTATTTGTGAAATGAGCTTACCATCAGAAGACCTCCATGAAGCTTCTACCCTCAGCATTGATAGTCGAGTCCACAAGAGTGCACTTCATCTGCAAAACCAGCACTTGGTTGCACAACTAAGTGGAGGGGATTTAGAGGCCCAAGAGCAGGGTCGGCTCTAGGCACCAGCAAAACAAGCTGGTGCTTGGGGCGGCACATTTTTAGGGGCGGCATGGCCGGTGCCAGAATGCCGCCCCTAAAAATGTGCCCCGGCCGCCCTAGCTCACCTCCGCTGCCGCTCGCGCGCCGCTACTCCCCCTCCCTCCCAGGCTCTCAAACCTGGGAGGGAGGGGGAGATCCCGAGCGGCCGCGGCGCGTGAAACAGTTGTTTCGCGCGCCGCTGCTCCCCCTCCCTCCCTCCCTCCCAGGCTTGAGAGCCT